ATGCCAGTGCAAGAGGCTGACAGCAGGGAAGTCTCTGCGTTTTTCTTCACATCTAAACGTAGTCTATTAGGAAAAGTTTCTATAAAATGTCAGCAACAAAGACAGTTGCTTCTCAGAGGGTCTGTGAGAACAAGCACAGACAGCCCTTCAGTGGCCCAGACCCCTGCATTGTACCTCCAGCCCCATGATCCCTGACCTCAGCCCCATTCACTCCCTTCCCTGTGGGGCTGGAAGCACCAAGCCCCCACCAGGTGGACCCAGCCTCCCCTCTGTTTCTGACTCCATTGTGCCTCCACAGGGGCGGCTCTGCCCATCTCCAGCTGCCCAGGTCCGCCGGGTAGGCAGTCGCTGCCAGACTCACTCCTCCAGTACTACTTCCCAAGTGTCCCCAGGTCTCCACTCCTCCCCCATGCCTCGGTGCCAGCCCCAGCAGGGGTCTGAACAGTCCTCGCTGCTTGGGACACTGCTGGGGAGGATGCAGGAGCACAAAACTGAGGCCAGCAGGACAGGTGAGGGGGAACAGCTTTTGGCCATCAGCTGCAATCCCCAGGAGTCCACCTGCTGCTCCTCCCAGCAGCTGATGTCCCCTGGGCAGAGGCGGGACATGCCCCTGGCAGGGCCTGGGCTGGAAATGCGGTCCTCATCGGGGCACACGCTCCTCTAGACCGCCTGTGCCAAGTACACAGCTTGGCCAGCCTTGGTGGGAGGTTGAGTCCTCCTCCTTAGACCCGTGTCTGGCCGGCCACAGTCGGACCCCCTCAGGAGGACCCTCCCAAGGAAGGAGCTGGAGGGGTTGCATATGCTGGGGTCTCCTGGGGCTCCCCGGAGCTGCCAGGGAGCTTTGGGGCACAGGACCTGCAAGGTGATGTCACTGCCAGACAAGGGCTGCTGTGCGGATCCCTGGAGTCCCTGTAGAGGCACAGCAACTCTCAACAACTAGGCCACACACTGGGAGAGGTCCGGCAGGAGACTTTGTTAGGGAAGGCGGGTTAGGGAGACAGGAGAGAGGGAAGAGAGAGAGGAAGGAGAAGAACAAAGAGAGGAAAGTCCTCTTATCGGTTTGGGGCTGGGCTATTGCTTATTTATGAGGAGTGGGCTCCTTTTAACCTATCACAGGCCAGGTTGTCTTCTATGGGTTCAGTCCTACAGAAACATGTTTAACTTCTCCTGCTGTGGCCTTGGAGGGAGGGAAACTAAAGATAAGAGCATGAGGTCATTTTAGGAGCCAAGAAGAACCAGAATACAGCCTGTGATGGTGGTGTCAGGTCCCTAATAGTCCCACAGGTTAGCTAATCCAGTCCTAGTAGCCTCCAGCCTGGCCACCTCCCTGTCCCTCAGCAGCCTCTCCCCACGTGGTAGCTTCCTCGTACGGGCCTTCAGCCCTGCTCAGGTCACCACAGCAGTGGCACAGACACACCCAGTCCTTCTCAGGTCGCTTAGCATTCCATCCCACCCTCTACCCCCACCCCCAGCTGTGGTGCTAGGTCGCCTCCGCCCGTACCTGGGGCACTGTCGCATCTCAGCCCCACCCTGTCCTCAGGTTGTGGACTCCTTGGGATCCTCCTCTGTCCTTGTTCCCTGGGCAGCCCCAGGTCTTCCAGGCTATGTGGGTCACTCTCCTAATGATAAAAGGGGCAGAGATAAGACTCCCAAACCTGCCAGATATCTGAAATAGGAGTTCGTGTTCTCTAAAATCGACGAATGAGTTCTAGAAACAATGGAGGTTAAGAGTAAGAAAAATTGTTTGAGGGAAAGAAAGCTTCTGCCTAAGAGAACAGAAGGGGGACCGAAAAGCGAGTTGCCTGCTCACCCCACTTCTCAAAGATGTTTTATGCAGCAAAGCCATGTGGGGAGGCGGGTACAAAGTGCGACAGAACTGTAAGACCCAATGGAAAAGTAGAAGGTGGGCATGAGGTGGGGCAAAACCACGACCAACCAATAAGATTACAAGAACAGTCACCCAGGTAATAGTGATTAAATGGGGGTCAAATTGGGGAGCAAGTCACATACCAAGCATACAAGGATTTTCTGCAAGAGGGGGGGGGTCAGGGATATTTCCTGGAAAGGAAAGACCTTGGCCTCCACCCACGTGATTGAAACCTATTTAGAATGTCAATCACTGCTCTGTATCCCCTGGGGAAGCACCAGGGTGTAGTACTTTCTCTCCTTTTACAATTCTGGCCACAGTGAATGTGTCTTGATTGTTCTCCGTGTTGGCTCCTTGCTGTGTTGGCTCCTTGAGGGCAGCTCTGCCTAACTGCCTACAAGGTATCTATCTAATTAACTTACCTAGCTGCAATACTAAGACCTTTGGTGCCCTCACCTGCCTTGGGCCAGAGGAAACCCAGGTTCGGGGCTCTGAGAAGCAGTGTGACCCAGCCTCCGTGCTCCGCAGGCCCCTGGCGCGCCCCTCCTCCCTCCCTCCCGCGCCCAATCTGGCCAGGGCTGGAGCCGCTGTGCCTCCTAAAGCTGCCGGGGGGCTTATTTTAGCGGGATGAGCCATCTGGAACCTGCTCTGTGTGCCTGAGATCCGGTAGCCGGCCAGGACAATGGGCCCTTCCCTTCCAGCCAGCCTGGGGTCCCCGCGAACGGGAGCTCCTGGCTAGGGGCGCTGGGTCCCCCGAGCACAGGGGGCAGGCGGCAGCCTTACCCTACTCCTGCCCTGATCTCCCCCACAGCAGGCGGGGATGGGGTGAGAGGGTCACCACGCAGTCCCCTTGTCTGGCTTGGTGGCAGAGCGTAGCTTTGCAGGCTCCCCTTACTTTGGAGATTTGCAAAATCTGTCATCCCGGGAGTCGAGCCCCTGGTCTCCAGCTGAGCCTCTGGTTAAGCCCCACTGCACACCTGGAGGTTGATCCCCATCCGCCAGTGGCTGGGAAGAGGCCATTGAAGCCCACACCCCCCCCACGGTGCGTGGGAGCTGGGAACCTGACGCTCGCCCAGCCCCATTTTAGGGCCCAATCTCAGGGCTAAAGATGGGACCCGCTGGAGGGACCCTAGGGAAGGCAGGGACGC